CCGCGCGCCCCGTCTGCAGCGCCCCTGCGGCGTAGCCCCGGCTCCCGACGACCCCGCCCCAGCCCGGGCGCGAGCCTACCCATGGTGGCGGCTCCGAGGGCTCCCTGCGACTGGCGAGCGCGGAGTCCAGACTGGAGGACTTTTTCTTAAGGAGTCGCTCCTATGACTGGGTTTCCAGGCCCTGCCCAGCCACCTGCGCGGCTGGAGGTGTGCGGGCGGGGCGGCCGGACTCCACCCTGCGGGCGGCAGGACGGCAGGGAGCAGAGGTTGGCGCCCCTTGAGCCCCGGCCGAGGGACACCTGTCCGCGTCCAGCCTCCGGACTCCTCGGTTCCGCCCCAGGCCCTGGGGGAGGGCAAGGGGCAGGGCGCAGGTGGCGGCGGGAGATCCGCGCTGGGGACGCCCCGACGTGAGCGCTCATCTGAGTCACCTGGGGGGCTTCTTAAAACGCAGGTTCCGGGCCTCACCCGATGTGCTGACTGGCAGGTCGGGGGTGGGGCCCGAGAATTTGCGTTTCTGACAAGTCCTAAAGTGATGTTGCTGCTGCTCTGGGGACACCACTTTGGAAACCACAGCGCTGAGAAAACACCCTTCTGCGTGGGGAAGCAGAAGGGGGCGGGGCACTGCCCGGCTTCACGTGAGTGTAGGTGCGGCTCCACCTGGATGTGAACCCAGGGCAGCATTTCTGGAGGATCCTACCTGTCCTTTTAAGACAGGTTAGAAAGAAGCGAGGAAAATTCCTTGTCAAGTGGAAAGGGGAAACAGCTGAGAAAAACCGGCTGAGCAATTTACAGGAAGATACAGAAGGTCACCAGGGCAGAAAGCCCCAGGTGCCTAATAACAGGCAATAGTGGTGCCCTCCCTCTCCCCAGGGTGGCCTTTCCTCTGCTGGCATATTGCTGGTCATGTGATTTAGACCCCTGGCACTGATCAATCAGTGGAGGCCAGGACCCTGAAAGGGCAGGCCTGGAAAAGCTAATGAATATTCTACTAAGATCCTCCCCTAACACCGCCCCTAAGTCCCCAGCCTTTAAAACCATCAAGATGCCCTGGCCCGTGTGGTTCAAGTGTTGGCCCTCACACTGGAAGGGTCCGGGGTGATTCCCCTGGTTCCGCACTGGGGTGTGTGGGAGGCAACCAATCCATCTGGGTTTTTGGTGTTTTTTTCTTTTCTCTCTTTCTCCCTCCCTTCCACTCTCTCTAAAAATCAATGGAAAAAATATCCTCGGGTGAAGATTAACATAAACAAACAACCTTAAGATGAAGGACCCCAGTGCACATTAACACTCATGCCTTTCCCTTCCCCCCCTTCTTCCCCCACAGGCCTGTAGCTCCTACACTCTAAGGGACCCCAGGAGACTTGCAATTGGGGGAGCAATGGGCAGTAGCAGCTCATCCAGGGCTAGCCCCCGACCCTGTCCCCAAGGCCCTGTTCCTCTGACAGCAGCCCCGCCTTTGCTCGCTTCTTTCCCATCCGTTTCTAGAGCCCCGAAGCAGCCCAGCCTCGGCTCATTTCCCTCTTGCTTCTGTCCTAAGCCCTTCCTTGTTTCACTGTCCCCAGCTTTACAAAACATACTCTCAAAATCACCTGGACCCACGTTATGAAATCTTTCCTACATGAAGTCAACAACCTACACACCACTCCAGGCCCAGTCCTCTTTCCAGTAACACTTTCTTTAAAAATAACAAAAACAGCCCTAGCCTGTGTGGCACAGTTGGTGGAGAGTTGTCCCATTCACCAAAAGGTTGCTGGGCTCCCTGGTAGGGGGTGTGCAGGAGGCAGCCCATCTCTTTCTCTCTACCTCTCCCCTCCTCTCCTCTCTAAAATCAATAAAAGCCTATTTTTTAAAAATAATAAAAACAAAAATAACAATGACATAGCAATCATCTCCAGATCCTTTATCTGTTTCCCCATCTGACTTAAGAGATTTATGCCTTGCAGACACTGAGAGGAACATTAAATATGGACGTAAAGGTGAGTTCCTGTTGCCTTAAGAAAATCGCGGTAAAAATACATAACATAAAATTTACCATCTTAGCCGTATGTGTACATTAAGTGCCATTAAGTACGTTCACATTTTTGTGCAACCATAGCCACCATTCATTTCCAGACCTTTTTTATCTTTTCAAATAAACTCTATTAAACACTACCCATTAAACACTAAATCTCCACTCTGCCTTCCCTGGCCCTTGGCTGTTGCCCTTCTACTTTCTGTCTCTATCAATTTGACTACTCTAGGTACCTTCTATAGCTGGAATCAAAAAGTACTTGTTCTTTTGTGTTTGGCTTCTTTCACTTAGTATAATATCTTCAAGATCTATCCATTTTGTAGTAGGTGTCAGAATTTCCTTCCTTCCTTCCTTTATTTATTTTAATCCTTACCCCAAGGATATTTTTTTCCATTGCTTTTCAGAGAGAGTGGAAGGGAGAGAGAGAGAGAAACATTGATGTGAGAGAGACATCGATTGGTTGCCTCCTGCATGTACCCCGACCCAGGGCAGGGGATTGAGCCTGCAAACCCAGGGAAGTGCCCTTGCCCTGAATTGAACCAGAGACCCTTCAGTCCTTAGGCCTATGCTCTCACCACTGAGTGACACTAGCTAGGGCCAGAATTTCCTTCCTTTTTAAAGACTGAATGATATTCCATTGCATGTACCTACCACATTTTGTGTGTATCCATTCATCTGTCTCTATTAACTTCTAAGTCTTAGCAATTCCCCCAGCCTGACTGGAAGCCTGTGATGTGGAGGGAGAAACCCGGGCAGCTCTTCCCCAAAGGTGCCTGGACCTGCCCTCCTCAGGCTTGCTTCAATGTGCATGACGAAACCTCTTCATGTAGTGGCTTAACTGATATGCACAGGGCTGCAGCTGATGTTGCCTAAAAGCAGGGGGCTACAAGTAGAAAGATAGCATTGAGGAGAAAAATGCAGCACTCACTGAAGGAAAGAACACTTGCTCTTGAAGGGTTGAAAGCATGCTTCATAGTCGTCCTGCTATCAGATAAGCCAGAGGTAGAAAGGGAATTCTTGTGATAGTTTCTTGTGATTAAAGTTTTCTCTACAAGGTGGTATTTCTGTTGTTGAGCTCATGAAGCTTGGAATCCTGGGCACTCTTGTTCTAGGCCATGTGAACCTAAAAATAAAAGGCCTTTCAAAGTGAGAGACAACAAGGATTTATCTGAGATCAAAGAATAGCTATGGGGAAGCACTGATTCAGGTAGAAGCCCAAATAATGTTCCGATTAAGAGACAAAAGCAATGGGTATTTGAGAAAGGGAAGGGGAACAATGACATCAATAGAAGGAAGGCATTTCTCTTGGTGCAGATGCGCTAACATTGCAATGCTAACTTTCACTCCAGTAGTCAAAATAACTGCTGTCTTGTTATCTTTGCAAATAGTTCTTTGAGGCACAGTGTTGCTTTAGGCCCAATCCAAAGGTTATTTTGCCCCGTTCTGATATTCTGAAGGTTTAAGGCATAAAATGTGAAAGGCAGTTCCTCTGGGATGACAGCTTCAGCTCCATTTTAAGTGGCTCCATTTATATTATTATTATTATTATTATTATTATTATTATTATTATTATTTTATACCCAGTGGTTCTCAAAGTGAGGTCCTCAGACCAGCAGCATCAGTATTACCTGGGAACTTGTAACAAAAGAAATTCTCAGGCCCCATCGCAGATCTATTGAATAAGAAACTGTCTGGTGGGGTGCAGCCCACTTTTCAGTAGTCATGAGGCAAATGCTCTTTCTTCTATATGTTTATTTAAATCCTTTGTTACCAGACAGGGGACCTGACCCTGGGCGGGTCTGCCTAGGGCCAGCCAGTAGTGTGTGGGTTTTTGACTTCATGCAGGATTTCACCACCCAAGTCCTGGTGATTTTTAGAGGATGTTTATTAAAGCTGGGGACAACAAAGAGCTTATGCTTTTTGTTATCTTTTAAGCATGACAAGGAGGAGCGGGTTACTCGAGATGGAGAAGCAGAAATGAAGAACAGAAACTGAGGGGGAAGAGAGACAAGCCCTGCTGATCCTGAGTACATCGGCCAGTCCCTAGAACCCACCAGGATTCCCAGGATGGCCTGGACTTGGAGGCCCGGTGTCCCTCACCTGGTGCTCCTTTGTATGTGGTGTGTGTAGGGGAATGACTTGGACTTGGGTGCTTCCACCTTCTCCACCCTGTCTCAAGAGAGAGTAACACTGTGTCAGCCTCTATTTAGTTCCCCCATTCCCCTCCACGTGTTGACTTCCTGGGGCTGCTGTAACAAATTACCACAGATTGGTGGCTTAACATGCAGATATTTATTCTCTCACATTCTAGAGGCCAGAGGTCTGAAATCAGGATGGTGATGAACTCCCGCTGAAGGCTCAAGGGGAGGGTCCTTCCCTGCCTCTTTCAGCGTCGGGTAGCTCCAGGCATCCCTGGCTTGTGGCTGCATCACTCCAATCTGCCTCTGTCTTCACTTCATCTTCTCCTCTGTGGCACCTGTCGTTAGATTTGGGGCCCTCCCTAATCCAGGAGGATCTCATCTCAAGATCCTTAACTTAATTCCATTTGCAAAGACTCTTTTTCCAAAAAAGGTCTGTGTGTACAGGTTCCAGGAGGAGGTATCTGGGCCATGGCGGGAGGGGCACAAGTGACCCCACTACACATCCCCAAAGTGCCCCCTGTACAGAACTTGAATGTGCAGAATTGGCAAGCTGGTCCTGGATACACAGGACTGCTGGCCTCAGACGGTTGTCCTCTGAAAGCTGCTGGGGGAGAAATGAAGGTTAGTGATGGCCATGAGGTCAGCACAGAATGGCTTCATGAAGAGCCATCCAAACCTGGGCCTGTCATTATTTCCTTTTACGGAAGCCCTGGGACAGAGGTTTCATGTTTACTGCAGTAAGAATGCCCTCTGGAAAGGGGGCCTGTGAGCTTTTTGGAGTAACAGTATATCGTTTTCTCCAGCTCTGTCCCTCAGATTTCTTGGCTGCAAAGACCATTTAATTTGGTCTCAGAGGAAACTCCAGAAGAAGTTTTTCTATAAAGCAACTAGAATTGCAACGGAGACGCTGATAGTTAACAGGAGAACTTTAGAAATAAAAAGAGTGGGTCCCACCGTTACCTATTTGGAGAAGAGCGAGAGATTCTGCAAAATGGCCTGGGGTGAGGAGGGAAG